AATTGTTATTCATCTTTTGATGGACGAGGAGGTAACATTATAATTCAACAATCCAGACATTAACGTACATAAGAGCTATTCAATTATTCTTTTTTCTTTCTATAATTTTCTATTTTTAAAATCAACAATTAGTAACTTAACCACACTTTCATAGACTTCTACTCTCAATGATGTCACAATCCATTGAGACTATTAAAAACACATCAGGGATGTATGCAAATTGTCTTTTGAAACAGAATTGCACGACGCTAATAATTTATTAATATTAATTATTATTTGTTTTTTCGCTTAATAAATGGAGGGATGAAGCCGGGTTTTCTTACCTAAATGGGTATTACACACGTGAGAAAACCGTTGGCGAGATGCGAACCCACGACCCAAATACAACAGGGTGAAACGAATTAATTTTATTTTTCTTCGTCGTGGGTTCGGCCAGGTCTACAATAGGAGGAGGCCGGATAGCGAGGGAAGAAACCCGAGTCTACAGTGTCCGAGCGGGCATAACCACGAAATATTTAGTCGTGGATTCGCGCCTCGCCAACGGACTTGCCACATACTTTTTGTGGGTTTTCTTCACGTGTCTAACATCTAAATAGGGATCAGTTTCCCCTTAGAAAGATCTCTCGGGAGGCATCTTTCTCGGTAAATTGCCCGTGTGTTGCGTTTCTATAAACAAAAAAACAAACAAGCAAACGGACACATCCGAGAGGAATCGTCCACAAAAAATCCCTGGGAGTTTTGATCCTATTGGATTCGATTCCGGGTCTTCCACATTGACAGATCGACGTCTTAACCTCTTGAATTATGAGGATTTTTATGATTTACGGAATAAGATAAGGCAACACAAGAGGCAATCTGTTAAGAGAAAAATATCACCTAAAGATAGAATATCTCCCCTGTTTAGGTGTTAAGCCACGTAATTTTTCTTCGAATAAGATCTGATAAACACTAGTAACGAAAATTCCCGCTCGAATTTCTATACAGAAATTTGGGAATTTTCAATACCGATAAACAATTAAACTCGTTAATTTATGAGATCCTATTAAAGTCAAAACACCGTATAGTTATTTGAATGCCAATAATAATAATTTGGCTCTACTTATGTTTAAATAAAAGTTAATTAAAATTAATAAAAACTGTTGAAACTTACGTTAATATATGAAATTCCGATCATTAAGTAATGCCATCATGAAGGATCCATCAAATTCTATCTGAATTTTTCATAACTCGTTTGGATCGAGACTGGGACCTGAAGTTTTTCGGGTTTTCTTCGCGTATCTAACATCTAAATAGGGTCAGTTTATCATAGAAAGTCTCCAGGAGCTAACGCAACACGTGGGTAATATGCCAAGGGGTACCCCTTGATATATTACCCACGTGTTGCGTTGTCATATTCCATTAATTCCAAATATTCCACATATTCCAAACGGACCAACCCCGAAAATTTCCTGGGATTTTTTGGCCCGTTCGAATTCGATTCAGGGTCCCCCAGAGCGGTAGACTGCCCTCTTGACCGCTCGGCTATCCTTCTCTTAATACTATAGACTATTAGTGTAATTTGGTAATACGATCTACCAAAAGGTGTGTCTTTTGGGAGGACTTTCTACGCTAAACTAGGTCCTGTTCAGATGTCAAACAGGCAAAAATAGCCTAGAAAACTTTACAGCCAGTTGCTGAGGTGCGAACCCACGACTAACCACCAAAGTTCAGTAGTTTTATGCAGTAGTTTCAGTTCTAATTTAATGCTTATTTAATGTATTAGTTATCTTGTATATAATAAATTTATATATATGTATAAGTACACTTAAAATACAATATATATATATATATGACTATATAATTATTTATAAACACTTTTTTCTAACGAATTTTTAGTACCACTTATTTAAACTTAAATAATAATAAATTATATATAGGCTATATATAGAATTTTGTAATCACTATTAGAACTACAAACAGGAAACATTTATCTATACTAACAATAATATTTTGGGGAAAATATTCTTTATTCACTACAAATATAAGGAAAGTCAATAACGCTATTAATTAATGCATTATATATTTAAAATATTTTTATAGCTAAGTTATGGATAGTGAACACAAGAATCGACATTTCGTAAGTTTCAAATCAGATAATAAAGAATGTAAGAATGAATCATTCCCGTTATTAACTTCGGAGAATTGTACCAATTTAATGAAATTACGAAACTATATCCGTAACAAAAATCGATAATATCTTTTAAGTGTTGACATTAAGAAAAGACTTAACGACAAAAATAAATTCCACATAAAATCTTAGAATTTAATCACAAAAATTCAACAGAAGGAACAATTTTTAAAGAATAAATAACCTATTTTCTTAGGTATAACTCTTAAAATAGTCGTAGGTTCTCTCCTAGAAAACTGGCTGGACACGTGGAGTTTTTTTCATTAGTAACACCTAAATAGGGGCCAGTTTTCTATAGAAAATCCCTCCAATGGAGGCATGCCTGCCTAAAATAAATAACAATTGATTTTTTTTAAACGAATGTCACTCAATTTTTAATCATACTTTTAAAATATATTCAATTTAGTAGTGGCTTGCCCCTGTACATCATACTTTCCTGCTAGCAATTGAGTCGTGCCAGTCATCTAACTCCTTTCGGGGAGAAAATGTTTGAATTGAAATAACACGACTCCCAGTTTGTATCGAAAGTTTACATAGTTAATCTGAGCCTCCTGCCCCTAAGGTTTCTATATCTGATTTCAGATTTTATCCATCTAACTCTGTTCTCCAGATTAAGGAAGGACAGAGACAATGGGAACTTATTAGGTCTATAGTTTTTTTTCAAATTGCAGCCCAATAAGAAAATTGGTTGGATTAATGGGATGAGGAAACGTAACATGTAAACGATCTATCAATGGGATAATGACTCTAGTGGGATTTCTATGGGAATTTGGCCCCAAAAAGCTAGCAGTCAGGTGCGAACCTGCTACCAGTGTTCGGTGGTTTTATCCACTTGGCCACTGGTGGACTATAACGAAAAAGGAACAAATTCGATTATGATGTATGCTAACGAAATTTAATTTAAAAATGATCATTTTAATGGGGAGAAAACAGTAAAAAAATCACGGGTTCGTACGGTGTTAAAGAGAAATTCTTTAGTTTCGAAAGCAATTAAGTGTAGAACATTTCACAACTCTAAACAGGATTTTCCCCCAATAACATGCAAATGATTACACCACCGAACAAAACTCTTGTACAGCAGTAGGCCCATTAATTAAACACGATGAGGTCATTTCCTTTTTTTTGTAAATCGTCAATAGACACGAACAAATATTACATATTATAAAAATAGATATTTCTCTTTCTAATTTAAAAAAAAATTATATAAGGATTATTAAGGGTTTTCCTATGTTAATTTAATTTAATTATAGAATAAAATTATTATGAAATTAAGTTTTGTTAATAAATTATTATAATTTAATGCATGATTTCTCTACATTACAACTAACTTTGATACGGTTTCGTGTTAAAGTGGTCAAATTATTAATCGAGAACGGAGTTAATATACGAAGATCGAGACCACATATAGAAAGATTAGGGGCAGGAGGCCTGTGTTAATTATATATCAGCCTACTCGAGAGTATATCTAGGTTTATAGATAGGAGGGGATGAGAAAGATGAATGTTCCCTTAGAGTAATTAAACAGAATTAGCAGATTTTATAATTATTTAACTGAATTAATCAATTTAATTATTATATTTTAAAATTTTTATTAATTTTCACACTTAATTAAACCATTTCAAATATTAAATTAAACTTCATTCGGGTCAGCCAGGTGTCTCAACTTAAGTCATGTTTGAATGAACTGAATTAATTGATATTTAAATCAATAATAATAATGACATAAAATTCATTTTTACTCAATAATGACGTATAAAAACTTTATAATTTTTAAAAGTTTAATTTTAATTAATGATATAATGTCTAGACTCTAAGAGTATGGAAACAGCATTTACAGGAAAAATTTCACTTAAAAATTCAGCCGGTAGGGCGAAATTGGCGCTGCTCTCGCCTTACTGTACATATTAGAAACTTTTTCTAAAGTGTTCCGTAAGTTAAACAGATGGGATAATTTTATTTCGCTTACTAATGCAATTTGCAGGAGTGTGAATCAGAAATGATAATTATTAAGCAGGATACTGTACATATGTGTACGTGTATACACATGCAGAAATAACAGTTCTGCCATAGAAACGTTGAGGTATACCAATACGTGTTAATGTTAATCGATATCAAAGTACCTCATTTAATAATATGAATACATTAAACACAATTTTATTTTGTATTAATACTAAAATATGGGAAATCACAATAGGTTTTTTTTTTACAATAAATATAATTATTTTTTCAGCACGCTCCATGTATTCGTCGTATTTACAGTATGAATCAATGTTAAAGGGAAAATTCCCTTTAATTTGGGGGATATTTCTGTTAAAAATATTACGTATGATTGAATTTTTCGAAGTTAAAAATCCCCCGAATTTTATTTACTTCTGAAAGAAATGTGTTAAAAGAATTTTTATAAATTAACAACCTTCTTCGGAGAATTCTAATTACTAGAAATGAATTAAAATCGTGTAATTACATTCAAAACATTGTTATTACATTCATTAATATCCTCTTTAATTGGGTTCTTTATCCTTAATTCGTAGATAGATCTAAAGCGACTTTTACAATATATATTTTTCGCTGACCTCAACGCTTGTGTTTGGGATCTCTCCACCCGTTTCTGAATCACGGAACACTGTTAGTTTGGTCGTGGGTTCGCACCTGATCAATGGGACGACATGGAGCCCATCGATCAGTGACTAAACTACCAGTGTACAGGGTTTCTTCACGCTTCTAACATTTAAATATGGGCCAACTTCCGGAAGGACTTTCTATGTAAAATGAATTGTTGGAAAAGACCTGTATAAACGACAACAATGATCTTCAAAAATTTTTTATTGCTGCCACAATTTAACAAAATATTTTCAATATTACAGTTTCGTAAAAATAAAAATCCAGTTTATAATTTTAAACATTCAAAAAGACTTCAAATAATGCATTAAAATAAGCATTTGTTTTGAAGTTTTAATGTATTTACATCACTTTACATCAATATACAATTGCTGTGTATATTCAATCTACAATGCTTACAATATATTTCTAATTCTGATTTGGCATTTATAATGAAAAAATATACACACTCTTCAGCAATTAAGAAAGTTTTCGAATGCACTTAATTGGATTGATTGATTTCAATATGGCATAATTTTTATAATTTTAATTGTTTAATAAATTATAAAATTTTAAAAAGCCGCAACACTAAAATCTACAATGGTGATAGAAAAAGGGTCAGTAAGACCATTGGATGGTACAATTTTAAGGTAAAAATGATCAAAATGTGCTATTTAAAAGCAGTATATTATATAAATTTATAAAAAATATCTTCAAAAAAATCAATTCTTCAAATTACAAATATGGCAAAGCAAAAATTAGGAACACTTTGATTAAAATTTATACCTATCTTTACATTATAGCAGGTTTATAAAATACTACATCCCCAGCAACAGGACTGCGGATAATCTGGAAAGTAGACTTTATTCTCAAATCCGTATACGAAGAACTGTCCGCTTCTGTCTTTCCAATTGTATTTTACTTCGGCCACCGGAACAATTCTTACTTTGTGTCTCTGTCAAATTAAAAAACATTAGATTTTAGTATTTGATTTAAACATTTACAAAAAAAGAAAAAAGTCAGAGTAATGTTTTCGTACTTGTTGTAGAATTCGTTCCATTTGAAATGCTTGGTTATGTTTTTGTACCAGTTGATTAGATGCATCATTAATACTAGGTTGAAAATGATTGATGGGCCATACCTAAAAATACAATAATTTAAAACAAGAGCTTGAACTTGAAAAGTATTAATTTAAATAATATACTACAGTATCTAGATTTATTTTTTCCAACTGATATTTTATCATCTTGAAGTTGATTTAAGTAGTTGCTTTGACGAAATATGAAAAGAACTCTCAAAACTCCTATTCGACACTACGATTTTGCCACAGGCAATGCTGTATTTGTTGGTTGGTGCATTGATTGTAATCATTTATCTGGATGTGTTGTGTGAATGGTTAATTCCATATCTAGATGACGACATTCCAAATATGGTTTTTCAGAAAGATAGCATTCTACCATATGTCCAAAATTATTCGAGGTCTTACTTTAACTGGCTTCTCCCTCAACAGTTCATTGAGCACACAGTATTGATGTTTTAAGCATGGGAAGTGTGCAGTATTCGTAGAGATTCCTCTTCGAATATTTAACACTATTATTGTGCAATATCTTTAGACACGAGTGCTGAAGTTTAAATTTACAAAATTTAAGAAATTTCTTAAAAACAGACGATACATAAAAAAATGTCTTCTAACTTTGTCCCTTTGCAAGTACGTGAGGAAATTAACAGTTCCACTGTGGAGTTGACCTTTCATTTGAGACTACTCGATATGTAAAATGTTAAAGTCATCCCTCTGACAATGGCAAAATTAAAAATTAATAAATACATTTTGTAAATTTAAACTTATTTGTCCTGGCAATTTTTATTACGTCTCGTAATTTTGCATATAGTGAATAGAAGTATTGCTTCCGGTCAGTGAGATATAGAAGTTCATACTTAACTGAAATAACTTTGTATTTATAGGCAACTAATTATATACAGGGTTCTTACTCAAATTTTTCTTTTTAATTCCATGACTTTCTCCGATCGACTTTGTACAAATTCCCCAACCCTCACATCCCTTACAAGTATGGCACACTGACAAAATAAAACAGCATTTGACTTACTATGTATGTACATACGTTATTGCTTCACCAACTTTTTAGTTAGTTATTTTTTCTATTTAACACTTATGTTTTTTATAATTGCCAAATTATTGAAACTAAAAATAAAATGTTTTACTAAAGTAGTTTATCCTGTTATTAATCCTCAACAAAAGAAAAAAAGCCATTTATTATTATTCATTAACAAATCCTGTATAATCCATGTACAAAAGTATATATTAATGGCTACACTTAGTCAAGCATATTGTCAGCAAAAAAAACAAGGCAGACAAGTTGGCAAATTCCCTAACTCTTCCTGATTGACAATTTTTGACAAATTTCCTGACTTTCTAAACACTAATAAAAATTCCTGACTTTCCAGGTGCATAGGAATCCTGTATATATTTTATTAAAAACAAGAACTTACCCTAAGCTGTTGTTCTTCAAAGGCAATGTGGCCGGTTACATCTCGGATTAACTCATCTGGCAAATTTGTTTGCTCGACGATAAAATCATCAACATGATTTTTCCTAAAAAAAATTAAAAATCAAGACAAAACGTTATTAAATAAGTCAACTGAATTTTTCAAGAAAATAAACAAATCATTTGGACTAGCATTTGTCTACATCTAACTAAATTGTTTTTATTAAAAACAATCTTAATGAATTATCAATACCACCTTCTGTTGCTGAGAAATTTTTATTAAACAAATGTTTTCAACCTAATACAATAGGCCATCTTCAGGTGTAATTGAATTTGAATGCCTTTTCAAAAATGGAAGATTTTAATAAACGTACATCCGAACTCTTAAGTTTAAATTTAAAACGAAATATTAGACAAATTAACAATTAAACAAAACAATTAAATTTTGATGCATTTTGTTTTTTATTTAAGGGTAGGTGCTGACTAAGAATTATATTTTATGCAGAATTTCCATGCAAAAGATAGTCCATCTGCATCTCTGGCATTTGTGCATCTATCCTTTAATTTGCTTTTATAAATTTCAATTTTTTCTTCATTCATAGACTTAAGGAGCACAAGTATGAATTTAAAAAAAAAAAAAATGGAGCATTGCAACACAGTTTTGTCCAGTATGGCACAAGCAGAGGACTCCATAGTTAAATGGAATGAAGAGAATATCCTCAGAGCTGTGTTCCTCATCATTAGCAATGAACAAAGAAAAAAAATTGAAATTTATAAAAAGCAAATTAAAAGGATGGATACATAAATGCCAGCGATGCAGAAGAACTACCTTCTGCATAGAAATTCTGCAAAAAATAAAAATTAAAATATAAAAATCTTTAGTCAGCATCTGTTCTTATATTTTGATGCATTTTGTTTATTTTATTATTTCTATTTAAATATAAAATAATATTAAACAGTTTAACTATTTTTAAAAATTTAAAATTATTTTTCGTTATTGCCAAAAACACTTTTCTATGAACTGGAATTGGTATAGACCAAATAATGGTATTTCACCTGTTTATTGTCTATGCAAAATAATGTTGAGTTGGCATACTCTAATTTTAAATCTTGTATTTATACACCATCATGAAATATTAACAGTAACTTACAACCTTACACATGTTTCCAGCTGCAAAAAGAAAAAAAAAACACACTGTAGATTGTTTTGGTTCCATTTAGTGGCCAGCTTCAGGATTCTACAGAAAATTTCTGTTGCAAGCCAAATATTTTAAACTTTCTGGAATGTTTTTCAAATTGTTTTTCAAATTGTCACCAGTTCCAATCATCATCATCATATTTAAAACTAAACATTTCTTATCACATTAACACCCAAATATTTAAGAATGTAAACATAGATTACAATATAAATTAATAAAATAAAATGAACTTTTTCTAAGAACATCCAACAAAATCATTTCTGTATTATTGTGTATTGGTGTATTATTGTAATGAGAAATTTCCAGGCCATAGAAATTAATTCAGCATCTTTGCCATTTATACATTTGATAACAAAAGGCTTAGAACACTTTAAGCATTGAAAATTTATAAAAGATCTTACATCATAGAAAAGTGTTTTTTAATTAACTTGATTGTTTTATTGCTAGATATATCATTTATGTTCAGTAATTCTAGTCCAAGCCATTAAAAAAAAATTATAGCACATGAGAAAGCACATGGAAATAACTGCCAAACATTACCTATTTCATGACATTTAAACGTTTTAACTTTTTACTTGGCAAAATTTAAAATTTATGTATTTTAAACAATGCAACATTCAGCATTGATTAGCGTGTGAATTTATTTGGTACAGCTAATAATAGATATCTATTACTGAATTCAAAGACTACATCCATAAACTAATCAGAAAATCATTATTCATAATAAACACAGCATTATTTCTTATAAATTATATATCATTTTGTCAAAATGTGTATTTGTTTTAAAGTTATAAACTATAAGAATTAAGTTCAAATTTGAAGAGATTTCTTATAAAAACTGATACTATTCATTTAAAATTATATCAAGATAATTTACAAAAAGAAATTTTTTTTTTAAGGATAAAAACATCAATTTTTTTACTTGTCTATACTTTTAAATTTAAAAATCTTACCAAGTAGCAGTCAGTTTTACATAGCATTTTAAACTTCCTTTTCCAGAACAAGTCCTACATTTGACTAGTCCAGTACCATTACATTTATTACACCTACAGAGGAAAGATGAATTTAATAGAATTCTGAAATATTTATATGAAATAAAACATGAAATTATGCTAATTGTGTGAAAAACATTAACAATTAAAAATTTTAAAAATTTATTGTATTACAGTAGAGCATCGATTATCTGACCCCGGTTAACAGACTGTTCTAGTTGGCAAATTTCAAATGTCTGCTAGTGATGTGGCACTACAATATTTGGCTATGTCTTGGCTACTTTAATATTATTTTTGTTAAATTTTTGCGTGTTTTAGCTGGCATCAACAGTTCGACCATTGAAGGGAAGCCAGTATTTAAACAAGACTTAATTTTCTAATTATGAGTGATTGTTTGTTTTGTGAGCAATAAAAAAATTTTAAAATAATTTTTAACGATACAATAGCAACGATTATTATTTTTAAAAAATTTGTTAGGCTAAACATCGATGAAAATTCAACGCAAAGTTGGTTAATAGCGATATACTAATATACTAATTACATGGGATATACTAATATCCTAATACACTATACTAATAATGTATTTTTTCCTTCTTTTCAATTATCTGATTTTTTCAGTTATCCGACCAACGAGTTCCCAATTGAGTCAGATAATCGATGCTCTACTGTATTTATATACTATACAAATATTGTAGCAGATAATTTTACTTAAGAAACATCAAAATCTTAATTTGTCCAGAGTTTTCAGTAATTCCATGTTAGTATGTCAAGTAGTCAACTAGTATGATTTGATAACTGTCAGATATAATGGGTGATCCAGAAGTCCTTCACCATAGTCATTGCATGCAATGGCAAATGTATTTTTCCCTTTTGTTTAGTACGGGGGATTTTTTGTTTTTGCTAATAAGTAATGAATGCATTAATGTGTTTTTGTACATAATGTACAAATAGCTGCAGATATCAAGATACTTCTAGATTATCTAGAATAAAACTATCAAAGATTTTTAGATTTCCAATAATGTTGGAAACTATAAATGTACCACGTATTTACTGACCTAAAGTCATTGCATCTACCAATTTGGCTGAACATTAGAGCACCTTTGAGCAATATTAGTGAAGAAATGTTAAGGCACAAAGTAAAGCTTGAAGCCTTTTTGTGCAGTGATGCTTGTTTTCTTGATTTATCATCATGGTGACATTATTTCATCCAAAACATCATGTTGTTGTACTCTGTGTAATGTGTACTTTACTCACATGTTGAGTCTTACTGTCAAATCTGCTTCCACTATTCAAAACATTCAAAAGTTTCCTGCATTTAGATGTCTTTGCTGAGCTTTATGTTTCAACCCGGTCGATTCCCCAGTTTTTTGTATTTCAAGCATTTTTCAGTCAATTTCAGAATAGAATGGTTTGTGATAATTCTATATGCACCTGATAGTCATGTGATAGCTTGCAGTAAGTCATGCTGTGTGATAATTGAATAATATGCCAAAATTTTAAAAAATGAAGTATTATTTTATACTCAATATTTTAAAATAAAACCTTCAGAAGTGCAAATAGGAAATGGTTAGCTCTTGAATGAGCTAGTAAACTAGATTGCTTGGTAGCTTGGTGTCACTATTCTCTTGTAAATCTAGGCAACAAAATTCTGATCACGTATGTCCAAAACAATTCAACAAATTTATTCAAAATTTAAGATTCCATAGTAGTCATCATGGATACTAACAATTTTAAATTTCATCCAAACTATCCCTTGATCGTGTAGATATTAAGAGTCAAAGATGCCACTGTAACATTAACACACACAGTACTCTATAATAAAGCACTGCCACATCATGATAAGTTTCTTAAAATGGTATCTGAAACACTTACAAACGTTTCAGCCTTTTTTAAACACGAATTTAGACTTTCTCGGATAGACATACATTAAATATTTTAAAATCAATGCACTTTGATATAAATGCAACCCACATCCCAATAAATGTAACCTGAACGCACATATTGCTACCAACATACAGAATGACAAATGTAGCAATAATGAATTTAATGTAATGTAAATACATGTAGTTCCATCTAGAACATTCTTAACCTTGTGCAAATTGTTCCACCTAAGCTGTATACTCAAATATGCCACAACACTTTTGGAAAAAATATACTAAACATGCACTATACTTTAGATAATTAGTAGATAAATGTATAATTACCTAATTATTTATTAATACAATACATGTAAATTATTTTGTAACTTAATTTATTGGTTTATTTTGAAATAATTTTATTGATATGCTATGTAATACAAGTTAAGGATACAAAGCATAAATTCATGTACAGAGATAGTAGTACAGGGAACTATTTTTGAATGATATTCTAAACTCTTTAGAATAATTCTAATAGAAAGGTGGTTTCTGAGATGCTTTGCTAACATTAAAATTTTTAAATTTTGAAATAGAATGAAGAAATAGGAAGGTTTGTTTAATGATTTCTTAAAGGAAAGATTAAAAGTAAACAAACCTGTGTCTTCCAATTCCATTGCAATGATTACAAGTTTCATCAAATCTTTTACCATCGCCATTACACCAAGTACATAATTCCTACTTAATATACAGAATTTTATAAATTTTAAAAAATATTCAAAATTTCAATTTTTATGGAAAAAAAATCAGGTTTTCCACTGTTATTTTAATGAGTTTAAAGTAATTTTATAACTTTTCAGCAAAGAAATAATGAAAAACATGAAAATTATACACAGTATATATAAAAAAAATAAATTTTATTTGATTTTTTATGTATCAATTTAATAAACCAAAGTTTCAAAAGATGTTACTTTAAGCTTTAAAATACATTAAAAAGAATACATTTGAAATATAACCATCAGTTTTCCTGCAATTGTGGTATTTAAGTGTATTAAAAAGAAAAGAATGCAAGATAACCTTAAGAAAAATAAGTCAGCTAAAAGTATCATATATTTATTAATTAAACAAGGTGGTTATTTAAATCAATCCTCTGGAATTGAACCAAAAATATTACACTTCAAATCGAGTCACAAGATGAAGCTATCAGTTTCATCATAGATGCTATAATCAGTGAAAATAAAATCAACTTCATTTTCTTAAATGGAAATCTCCATTTTTTTTATTACATATTATTCTACCTCAAACTTTTAGATAAAACTGTTTAAAAATGCACTTATCAGAAGTTATGAACCTTTGACCTTTTATGTGGCTCTCAAACTATGCATGCATCTTTGGATATCTACAAAGCTTATTAGGGTGAAAAATCATTACTATATTATTATTTGGTGGAATCATTCTTTCCTTCAAATAATGAACTAAAACTCAAGCCACAGCTCAAGTTCATCTTAAATTTACTCAATAATTTTTTATTTTAATTAAATTTTTAGCAGAATATTTAATTAACATGAGTGACCATCACAGATTTCTCCTATGGCAAATGATGTTCAAAGACATCACCATTTTTATAACTTTTCAGGTCTATAGCCTTCGATATGGTCAATGACTGCTTTATCACTACTTTATGAATGTCCTTGGTAATTTTATTAAGTATATTTACTGTTAAATAAATTTAGTAATTTGTCATATACTTCTAATCCAGATGTAGCTCTTGTTAGACTAGAATTACTTGGATAAAGGAAAGAATAAAATTTTTGATCTGGCTTATGCTTTAAATAATTTAATGAAATGATACAATTACTAGTCAATCTGCAAATACACAATAGGAGAATGCATATTACAACATGCTTATACACTCCTTTTCACTAATCAGCCATATTCCATAGATTGTATTTCTACTGTAATGCATTGAATTCTAGTCCAGTGGAACATATTTTGCATTATGACTTTTTGCAATATAAAAGAACATGTAAATGTATTTTATATTGTGACCAGTAATATAGTATGTTTTTTAACCTTTTAGTTTTTAAATTTGTAAAATCAATAACGTAAAATATTCATAATGTTATTTGTTACTATTATATGATTCTAAATTAAAAACAAGCTTAATATGCAATAAAAATACAAAGGTTCTCATTTAAGAAAATATAGTTAGTGCAATAATTTACGTAAATGCAGGCCATCTATGACGAACCTGATAAACTTAGGCCATAAGATGACACTAACATTTTTTGTAGGCTGTGTATTTTGAGTTATTCCAGTGGTCTGATTAAAACGGACCACCACCGTGTATATTGGCCGGTAATAAACATTCATATTGTTCTTGGCTGCTGTTATTGAAAAAGTTATTACATTTTAAAAAATTTTTCAATTATTTTAAGTTATAAATACATAAGAATAAATTTTATACTAGTTTAATGATTTAAAGTTTAATTCAATATTAAAAAAATTACCGTACAACCACCATGACATTTAGGACATCTTTCCCTGCATGCTCCCACACAAACATGACAAGACATGGCAGAAGCTGTATGAGGAACTTCCATTGTTTGTACTGAATCACTAAATTCCCTTGTTGGTGCCAATGGTATATCCCAAGGACCAGGTGCAATTCCATTCATAGGTGTATCTAATATTTCACCTATAAAAATTTTGCCAAATTTTATTAATAAAAAAAAATACCAATTTCGTATTTAGTTAGGAATGTATAATTAGTTAATAAAAAATATTATTTTTTAGTTACAAAATTTCTAGTTCAATAATTATAAATTAGCAAAACTAACAACAGGGATGCACAACCTTTTTTGAAGAAGGGCCAAATTAGGATTAAGTTTATTGACTGGAGGCCGGACCTCCAAGTGATTAATGCGATGTCTGATGCAATTTGCGAGATTCTTTGTTGTATCGTCATGTGGTTAAGACTGATTGTTTGAAAACACTGTCTTCTCAGGACACATCTCACTTGCGAAGATAAGACACTTTTTTATCATATCGCCATCTGTGAAAGGTTTCCCATTCTTGGCTATTAAAGCAGATATTTCTAGGCTGGCTTCAACAGCCGCATCCAATTCTCCAGATTGTTTCTTGAACACATTTTGTTGGCTGATTAGTGATCGTCGTAACGATTCGATTTTCCGTTTGCGTTCCGTACCTTGCAGAAGGAAATCCTTGTGTTGGCTTTCATGATGTCGCTTCAGGTTGAATTCTTTTGGCACTGCTATTGTTCCATTGCACAAAAGGCAAATAATGCTGTTGTTCTGTTGCACAAAACAGTACTTGTTAGTCCACACTTCCACTTCTTGAAACTGATGATTCTCGCGATTGACCTTGCGTTTAATGCCCGGCGCCATACTGTTCACTCTGCAAAACAATGTCTCATTGTGCCGAAAATTCTGAGGCCCGCAACAAATCATGTTTGAGATAAGGCAAGCTAGACTACCACGTGCTTTGTTCTGTATCCACTCTGACCAAAGACTAAAGAGGCGGGGACAGAAGACTATTACGCACACGTGGCCAGGCAGGTCTTAATTCGTTCGACCCCTGTCCGGGCGTCTCCACCATTTCTCAGAATTTGTGAGTCAGATCGTCAACATGCCAGGTGCAGGACACTAATCCATCATAAATGTGGTTACCATTCTTACCTAAATTATATTTATGGCCCGTCAGTTTTACCCCCGTGTTCAGAAATGAATCAAAAGTGATTAACACAGTGCAGTGGAAAATCTGAATATTTTAAATATAATTATTAAAATTGCGATATCTCGTTTCAAATTGGCACTAGAATCAATCTGTTTTTTTTTTTTTTCCTGTCCTAAATATATCACAGTTTACGACTGTTAAATTTCAAATAAAATAAAAATTAAAAATAATAATTTAATTTTAAATTTACGAAAAAAAGAATGTAAAAATAAAAGTAAATAAAAAGTTCCAATTAATTTACTACTTAAATAACCTAAATATATCTGTTTTCTTTCAAACAAAAAAAACCGCAGCTTTCTAGCTACACGGAATCATTTTACAACCCTCTTTGTTGACAAGTTTATGGCTTGACGCGGTTTGTAATAATTATTAAATCCAAAATATTTTAATGCAAATGGCTTCCTTTTAGTCGTAATGACTCTATTCCAACTACAGTATTAATTTTCTTGGTCCAACTTAATAATAATAAATTTGATGTGAAAAATTTTTTTTCTATTCTTTGTCTATGGAGAGATATTGTTGTAAATTATTGGTTTTATAGCTTTTTGTACATTCCTTTTTGAACTCTGGTTAGTTTTTTTCTAGTTTGAATGACATTAGGTTGACGAATAAGCGTCTTTTCAGAAAAGATTGATTCAAATTCGACTATACCAATCAGAATCTAGAATGTAAACAAATGCTAAAAAAATCTTTATTTTCATGGTTTTTCAGCACTATTTTCACTTATTTTTGTTATTTGACGCTATTTAGACGAATAGGCAAGTTTTCCGAAGCATAAAATTGAAGATTTCCCGCCAAAATAGAAACTTCCCGATAACATCGGAAATGACGTTCTAATATCATTTTAAAATATTCGATATCTAAAGCAGAAAGTGTTAGCTAAAAATAGACTTATTTATAGAACAATCCCCATTTCTCACCTCAGGGAAAGTCATAAAACAGTTGGGTGCTAATGACTTTGTGAAAGGGAAAAAGTTCTACACTTAGAAACTTCGAAAGAAGGGATTTGGCCTGTACCGTCCGCGGGCCGCATAAACATTGATAGGGGGCCGTATGTGGCCCGCGGGCCGCAGGTTGTGCACCCCTGCTAACAAAGATGGTTTATTGTAATTATAAGATATAAAAACATCATCAAGCCATTCTCCAAATGCTTTTAAATATCAAAAACTGATCACCTGGAAAATAGCATGTATTATAACAGATCCATGTCTCAACCTTAGAAGTTGATGTCTAAGTATAGGCACTGCAGGACACGTTTTCAATATGCTAATTGACTTGAATAATTTAACATGTTTGCTACATACAGAGTTTGTTTTTTCCTGAAATGTATATCCTATTTGTCAGATGCTGCTCATTTAAAATTGGTTTTAGAGTACAAAGATGATATTCACAACGAGTCAAATTACAACAGGTCCTTTTCTTTTTGGTGTACCAACATGGTATTTGATGGTTTATTATTATTCTCTATGTTTCATGTATATTTCTGACTTCACTAAAAATAGCTACATTTAAAATTCATAAAAGAATTAAAAAAACTTATTTGCTGGATTTTTGGGTTATATTTAGGCTAATATTTTAATAAAGTCAATTGACTAGGCCTCCATCTTTTGGCCAAAAACATTAGAATGGAAAAATTATTGCTGATTATATCATTTATGTATCTCACTATTTTTTTAGATAAAAATTTTTTTATAAAAACTGGGTGCATAAGTAGTATAAATGTACTAAATTTATCACCAATTTGTCATGGCTTCCATGTCAGTCCTGACTAGGCATCAAAGGTGCCGACCCTCCAGTAACATTAATATGATGAATTATTAAGATGATCTTTTAAACAATTTTTGTTAAATCTATAAGTTATAATAGAACTTAAAAAATCTATGCATTAAGAAAACTGCACTAAAAATTCTAGTTATAAGGACTTAAAATTATTATACATATAAAAATTTGTTAAGCTGGCACCAAATAATCAAAATGTCTAATAATAATAATCTGCATCCTGTAAAAAAATAGCTGTGTTATTGGCATCTTTTCACATGATGATGATGGAACTGTTTTTATCTAGTAAGAGTAATTAGAATAATTCAATCTACTATGCAGCATAAATTGTAAACTATGCTTAGTTGGCATATTGTGCTAAATGAACAACACAGAACACACACACAACTCTAATGAAGTGATAATCAGTGTGTGAGAATTATTTTCTTTCCCATAGGACAATGCAGAAACATCATACCTAAAAAAACAGGTCTTTTTTAATACTGAGTGTTGGGATTAGAATCGTTTGGAAGCACAATTCCTGCTCTTTTCTGTTATTTCAAACTAGTAATGGTCAATGCTGCGAAAGTTGGATGGAGATGTGATCTTTGGTTTTGAATGCATAGTTGTTAATTGGCTGCTGATCATCGGACCACCTGCAGCCCTCTGACAGAGCTACAAAGAGCTGATTGGTCAATCAATCCTGCCATCAATCCATATAAAAAGGTTGAAGTTTAGGCAGGAAAGTTAAGTTCAGTTTAAGCTTAGCTTAGGACTTCACATTGGAAGGGAGTTGGTCAACAGAACTCATTTAAGAAAGTTGGTTAATGTTAAGCTCAAGGCAAGGTTGCATTCGTCTTGCTGTTTCTTCGACAAATGCCGGAAGGAGCTTACATCTAGCTAAGTCTCAGGGATTGCATTGCAAGGTGTCTTTCCGACGGACCTCTTCAGGATTAATGGACTATTTGAACTCTAATTTATTGTGTGTGTGGGGGGGGTGTGAAACCTACATTGTAAATATCTTCAACGTTGTAAGTTTGTAAATTTAACTGACGTTATGAAGTTTTTAAGTGTGACTCTGAGTAGATATAGTTTTTCTTAATCGTACATTCTTAATTTATAGTTGATGCTTTATATAATTCATTTTTAAAAGCATTTGATTACATGGATTTTTTGTCCAATCAGATAATGTATATAATCCTTTATAAAAATATTTGAAATTACCATTATATGGATCAAATGCCCATTTTGTTTCACGTTTTTCTGCAAATGTTTCCAATTTATACTAAAGATTAAAAGAAAAAAAAAAGCTGTAAGTATAAAATAATGATATTATTGAAACAATTTTTAAACTTTAAAACAGCAATTACATATTAAATCAATAGATTGAAGTATTATAAAATAAAATTTAATGAATTTTCACAATATTTCATAGAATTTTAAACACATTGCATAAAATAATAAATTTGAACTCTCAAAATCTTTTACACTTTAATATCAATTTAATTTCTTAGGCTATTTGTGAGTACAATTATGTTTAGTAAAATATATATTTTGAGTAAACTGTTATATGCACCACTTTCGTTTTACTGATATATAATTGTTGTTGTGGCAGTTCTAAGAGAAGTTCATTAACAAGAAAAGCAACTTCAGTTTTGATCTACAAGGAAAAGTCTGTTGTATGTGCATTTTCAAATGTCATTATTTATCAGAATTAAAATTTTTTAAAAAGATTTTCCAAACTCTTTAAAAACTTTAAATTTCTAATAATCATATATGCTGACATGCAAGATGACTTGGCATGCATGTCATTCCCAAAACACAATGAACTATTAATACTCTAGACCAAATGTGGATATGATAAGGAGTAGATGAAAGCGAATAAGTTCATACCACTTTCATCAAGACACTACTCAGAACCAATGTACCCTCTAATTATATATATATAAAAATCTTATTTTTTACTATAAAAATTATTTTAATAGAATTTTAATGTCTTTTAAATTATTTAAAAAAGATTAAAATTCATTTTAAAACATACTTTTATACAAAATGTTATCTTTTGTCACTAATTTAATGTATTTAATCGAAATATATGCAGCAATAATCATTTTGCAGACAGAGTGAGAAGTAAGTAAACAACAATTCAAATCGGTGTGCATGCTCGCCTGAGCGGCACACAAATTCTCGTGCGTAGCAACAATTTGAGCAGTGCGCGGCCGCGCAGCTTAGAGGGAACATTGCTCATAACATATTTTTAAATTCTTTTATATCTTCAAGATGGTTCAACTATAATATAATAGAACAACAAAAGAATTATGAGATATATTAAAACAAACATATATATTTCAAAAGAAATTAAAACTTCATTAATAAAGGTTTAGAATATAGTAACCGTAACAAGTGGAAGTCAGTAGATTTAATTACAAGTCTGAATAAAATTTAACTCATTTTTCAAGTTTGTTGCTGTAGAAACATTAAGTGTATGATTAAAAAGGTTAGAATTAACTTGAATATCATCAAAAATTTTAATACGAAAATTTATCCTCATAATATTTATATATTCTAGAGCAATTTTTAGAAAAAAAATTATTGAGGTAATTAAAGCAGATAAATCTAGAAAAATAATAATTACAATCAATTACCAACAGATCCAATAAATTTATATTAATAAACCAAACACACCTGATTTGTATTTGCCGAGTTATTTTCTTTATTCGAACGATATTCGGCCTATTTGTATAGGCCTATTTGTATTGGAACGAACAACGTTAAAGCCTATTCAGGCTTTAACGTTGTTCGTTCCAATGGAACCAATAGTTCGAAATTCATTTGAATTTGAACTTTTAACAACTTATGTGTATAAATAAATAGTCAACAATAATATCAAAAACGTGTTGCAACTTAACAATAACATGAAAAACGTAAATTAAAAATAAATATATGATAAAATGTAATCTAAAATTGCATTGCAATTTAACAATGAAAAAACAAAAAAAATTATATCAACTTTAACTGAGTCTGAACTACTAATTCTTAAAAAACTCCAGATCATAAAAATGTTTATGGATTATTAAAACCCATTCTTTTTTCAATTTTATATTTCCAAGCCATTGGTAATGCTTTTGCATCTAGGCATCTGTCCCTCATCTTACTTTTGTAAATCTCTATTTTTTCCATTTCCATTGTAATGGAAGGTGAGTGCCCCGTCCTAACAATCTTGGCTTCATCCCATTTGACTATGGCTCTGTCTGACTGTGCCATACTTGCTAATATTGTGCTATTGAGTCTTATTTATACTATATTTGTGCTCCTTTACTCGTACGTAGGAGTGACCAGAAGAAACCTTAAGTATGAGTAAAGTAGCACAAATATAGGAGCACAAATTACCATTAACAGAGTTATTCATTCCTTTTGATAAGTGATTGCAATTCAAGCAACAATGCTATATAAATATAGTATAAAAATGAACCTGTAAAAATACTCAAGACATATGCATAATGTGATTTTAGCACCACTTCTTACACTTTAACACACCAAAATCAGTTGAAAAAGTTTTATATTACCTAAAATAAACATTTGTCCATCTCGAATAGACATCAGGTTATGCAAGCCTAACGTAGAACCAAAAAATATTTCAAACTTCTTTGCATCACTTTTGCATCATTTAGCACTGTTCACCCCATTTTTAAACTTTCAAGCACCATAAAATCCTATCCTCGTTATTATATTAGTGAAACAGAAAATTTGGAATTAGGTTGAAAGAACAATTCTATTATATATTAAATCTGATGTAAGTCAAGTTGTGTTTTTCAAACATTATACAGTCAATAATAGTAAGAGAAATGAGGAAAATGTTAAAGTATTAAATTATGAAAGAGATTATAGCTGTCAGAAATTTAGATATTTTTTGTTTTGCATAAACACAGTATATTACACATTTGAAAAACTTTTGTAAACCTGTAGAGAAGTGTATTTTTAACTTAACTCATTAAAAACCTGTCCTGAAAGTGATAATAAAGAAAAAGTTTTTGAATGAGGGAAAGGCTTTTTAAAAAATTCTATAATAGGTTTTTTAATTTAAACAATTTGAAAGAAATTTAAGTTCATATTAAATGTTTAGATACTTGTTTTCCTTTCTTTCCTGGTTGTTGTAATAACCCTGTTAGATTTTTCATGCAGTTATGTTTGTATTTTGTGGTGGAAATGGCAGTTTTACCTAAATATACAAACTTATTGTATAAAACTGTTACAATATTTTTAATATTTAAAAAAAGCTAACAAGTTCCATTTTGCAATTAACTGATGAGGCTAAAATAATCCAAAATACATTTTTTAAAAAGAGTGGTACCAAAGTAATCTAGTAAAGCAATCATTTTAAGTTTTCTGGTTAAAAAAGGAGAAAAATTGCACTTTTTATAATAAAATATTCAGTTTTACAAGACCATAACTACATATAATTAATAAATAAAGACAAGATGAATTGTTGAAGAAACTACTCACATGAAATGCACTAGACATTGAAATATTTGTAATAGCCATATTTTCAACTGTATCTTTTCCATAACAACAATGTTGTGAAACGTAATCAATAGCTGCTTCTCTGACTTCTTCGACTGATAGTCCTGCTCCTCTACAATTAAAAAACAAAATTAAATTACATTGTTTTAACAATCATTCCTCTATTTAAAGATTTTTATATTATTTAAACAAAAACCGTATAACTGCTAACATAAAAAGTTTTTACAATATTTTTTCTATTAAGACTTTGTCTTGCCAATTTTACAAATAATTTTTAATAGTGCCATTCCTAAATGGAAATGAACATTTTCATGCTTAGTCAGATCAGAAGCCTACAAGTAAAAGGTTAATGCCACTGTGAGAATGTTATTTCCTAAAGTATATATATTAATTTTAATGGAAACATTCAATTTATGAATTTATAGCTTCAATATTTTCAATATTCAAAACAAATTTTATTACGCAACTTAGGAAAGAACTACACATGTAAAAACAAATTATACATGTGAAATAAATTAATTCACATTTTTTGTGTGTATGTAATTAAAATGTTTTCTGTAAAAAAGTATGTATTATGCAGATTCATAATTTCAAATTCACAATGTATAAAGTAATAAGCAAGGTTCAGATTTGTCTGTTACAGTAGACCCCCCTATAACGCTTAGATACGTTCCACGCTAACCGAAAATTACGTTGTAGGAATGAGCCAATCGCAGCCCGATAGGTGGGAACTTTACGGACTAAGGCTGTTCGAAAGGTTTTCTTCTATAAAATTAACCGATTCTAGACTAATTCCACTCAACATTTCCAAAATACGTATAATTTTTTGGGAATAATCTGTATAAACTATGCTATAAACAAAAAATTGTAGGATTACTTACACCGTTCGACTACGCCGTTGCTTAAAGCTGGTTTTCATCGCGGAACAGCACGCGAAACGACGGCCGCAATTTCTGATAACGAATTTTTGGCGGAAAAATAACTTGACCTTTGGAGACATCATTAATATAAATAATTTTTATGGATGTTGAATAAGAAGTGTTTCTTTCACAAGAAATGTATAAAATTAGTGCTGTATTAGACTTACGGTACCTAATTTACATACTGTGCAGACGATAATAAACTCAACTTACTAGCCTAAAATCTCCGTAGTGTGTTGCCAGGCGGCAGAAAGCATATATATAATTATAATAAAGTTACAATAAATTAAGTTAATATATAATTATATATACAGTACCTAATTTATATATAATTAATATATAATTATATGTACAGTACCTAATTTATATATAATTTATATATAATACTAAACAGACGATAGCAAACTCAATTTAGCCGCTCCGTAGCGTGGCGCAGGATCGGAGGAAAGTAGTTCGGCTGCTCATCCACTATTGGTCCAGACTCTATCAATCTTGTCGCGAAACGACGTTATAGGAGGTACGTTATACGAAAGTTGCTACAATTTTTTTGCTACGTTATAGGAATTGTCGTTATAGGAACGTACGTTATAGGGGGTCGACTGTATTTGCATGCATATTTAATGGGTTTTTGTATGTTATGAATATAGTAATGTATGTAGGAAAAAAAGCACAATATATTTTTCAAAATATTTTTTTTTGTTTTTAAATTTATAGTTGACAGTAATCCATATATTTGGACTAGGATTGCAATACATTCCATATCTTGCTTGTCATTTTGATTTAATGGTGTGCGCTATGGAATATCTAAAAACTTAAAAATGGGAACAAAAACTTTTGAAGAAGATTCTCACAAGAATAAATTGACTATATTCTTTTCTTCAAATAAATCTTTGCATTTCCATCATCATCACACATTTATATATGAAAAAGTTCAAAGCAAAAGTCACATTTTTTTTTACGAACTGTTGTTCTGCCATACAGCCTTAAAATAATTGTGTTCATGGTATCTATAAAAACGTTAATTTGTTAACAATCAACTACTGAAATATATTCATTAAAATAAAGGAAAAAAAAACAAAAATGAGAAATTAATAATGAAAAAAAATCTCATCCAATAGACAGTTCTAAGTTTTATCTAAAGGCTGTAAATAAACAAGCCCATTCAGAGATTCATTTTTTAAAAACTCCATTTTGATGCATTGTACTGTGTCCATTTAGTTTAAGATTTTAGTACTTTGAGAATTATAATAAGAAACTTCACAAAATATACACCATTAACGAGCAATTAATGGAAGTTACTTAATATAACATCTAGCTATGTGAACTGAATTTAACAATATGTTTAGATTAACAACTATACAATTACTTCAAAACAATAAATTTGGATTCAGAGAAATTTTAAACAAATTAATAAAATTCTGATGCAAAAATATTGAAAACTTCAAGAATAATAAATAATACATATAAAAACAAATGCCACTAACACTAATTAGTTCTTACACTAATTTCTCTATTTTTGGAGAAAATTTACTGAACTAAAATTTAAATACACACACAAGAATTATATAAACAAGCCAACAAATCACTAAATTATTAGTTTTACCAGGACTGTCAAGAGGGGAGAGCTAAAGTTTTCTCCTGGGATCAGAGAAAACTTATAATCTACACCTAGGAATTTGTTTTTACTACTTAGAAAAAAAATCTAAGACTGCTACTTATTGACATGAGAACTGGGAGTTTATTAAGGAAGATTTTAATGTTTTAAATTAATATTTAAAATTATGTAAGATGGATGCTGTATATTCTAGATCAGTGTTTTTCAACCTTCTTAAATACGCGACCCCTTTACAAGTTAAAAAATTTTGGCAACCCCAGGGAAATATTAAAATTATATCAGTGATTTTAAAAACTATGTATTTAATTTTCTTTAAATATCGATCAAAAAACAAATTGTACTGTAAAATAAACAGGCACAGCCTTCTCACTGAAAATCTAGTTTTTTTTTTATTGTAGTGTAGGGCCTACAAACATTTGTCTTTTTCATTCACCCGCAACCCCAGTAAGGCTTTGTGACCCCCATGGGGTCGCGACCCACAGGTTGAAAAACACTGTTCTAGATGTATATAAATTCACTTTAATCCAAAAAAATTTGTTGAGAAAAATCAACCAATTTTTTTTGGATTAAAGTGAATTTATATACATCTAGAATATTTAAAATATTATTTCATTTTGAAAAGATGTAAAAGAAAGATAAGAGAATTTATCTTCCACTTCATGTGAATCATTAGGAAAGTGACATCGTTCCTTTGGAAGTGAAAGTAACAGAATGTGGCGGGGAATTGTGGACATTTTCATTGATCAATCCAGTGGTGATATTCAGTGGGTTCGCACAGGTTCGGCCGAACCCGTTGTTAACATTTTCAAAGTTTTCCGAACCCGTTGTTAAACACACTTAACATTTCTCAGTGATTTTGTTTCTTTTAAAAAATATATTAAAATATACGTATTATACTCTGTAACACTACTAAACTAGAGCCTTATACCCTGTTTGCCTAGTGTAGGGGTCCCCAAAGTGGTCGATAAGAGTTCTCCAGGGGTCGATTAATACACGAGGGTTGAAAGGGGGTCAATTAATACCAAAGAAGATCAATTAAATTGTCTAGGAAAAAAATAGAATATTCCAATAAAAATTCGAAATATGGATATGATCAACAACATTATTGACTACCCTAGTTATAACTTGAGTTTTGCCTTAGCCTACACCACTTTAAGCATGTGTTACTCTATTTTCGCGCATCTGTCAACTGTACTAGTGTTGCAAACATGTTACGAACGATGGTAGTTCATTATACACAGACATACGTTGCACTCTTACACTCTAGTAGGGTTGTCACTCTACGTATCTTATATCTAAATGTAGATATTTTGTCCTTCACAGAGAAAATATCGTAATATATCAAAAATCATTAATATAATGCAGAAGCGTTTGCAAGAAAAAATGGCCTTTCAAGTAAAGATGGAGCTATTTAAATCTTCACTGGCACGATCCGATTTTAAATATTTTTCAAACTTGCGAGTACTAAAAGAAAAATGGAAAGATTTCCGACCATAATTTGGAGATATATAAACATCTTGATAAATCAAGAGAAGACTTTAAAGCACGTTTCGAAGACTTGGAGAATATGCATGTTCCCAAATGGTTTGCTAATCCATTTGATGTGAAAATAGATAATGAAGGTAGTGAAACTGGCTTAGAAGATGAATTGAGTGAAATGTGTAGATCTCAAAGCTAAAGCGTTGTTTAAAAATAAAAACCTCAGTGAATTTTGGACAATAACAATATTGCCACTAAATATCACAAGCTCAGAGCAGAAGCCGAACCTTTCTTACTTGCATTTCCAACTTCATACGTGGTTGAAGCTGGTTTTAGCCACGCGAACGCAATTTTGACAAAACAGAGGAACAGATTGAACTTGGAAAACCGTGGTGATTTGCGACTAAAACTTACCAATTTTGAACCAAACATCAATAATCTTGCTGCTTCTCTTCAGAGACATCCATCACTAATATCAACTATTTTAATAAAAAGGTATGTCTACATATTTTTAAGGCATTCAGTAGTAGTCTCAAAATGACAGTAGAAGGTTTTTTCATCCAATATAACTAATGTTATATTTTCAAAGATAAATGTGTATTTTACATATTATGACATGTACGGTTTAAGAACTATAGGCAAATTTCCATCTATCCATAATTTTGCTATTATTTTTTAAGATTATAAATCAGTGATAAATATCTCCTTTTTCTGTTAATGTTATTGGGTGGATTTTATAAAATATGTGAACTACAAATTATTTATTTGGGTTGTTATGCGGGTCTCCTTATCGCTTAACATTAGAAATGCAAAAAAGATTTAATGTTTTTGTCAAATACTTAATCTGGGGGTCGATAAGAAGGCAAATATTCTATAAAGGGGTCGACGGGATAAAAAGTTTGGGGACCCCTAGCCTAGTGCAACCTCCATCGACCGTTTCAATCTCGACTAAAACGAGGTTCAATCGCGATCGACTCGAGAGAGTTCTCGAAACTAGATCCAGTCATAAGAGAGATCCCACAATCCCACGCGCGCAACAAAATACAAGATGGCTGCGGAGCACGTGTCGGGCTATCAACAGCGAAGTAAGAAAGATATTGTATTTCGAGAGACGATGACATCTGTCTATTTTTATAATAATACCTAACGATAAAATAAATGATTTAGAAAAGTTTTTCTTGTTTAACTGCTTTCCCTATGACTTTTTCTGATTAAAAAAAGCCAATTTTTATGTTTATAAAATATTTTGAATGAAAAATATTAAATTATGTACAAAATAAACCATTTTGAACACTCTTTTTTATTATTTATTAAAAATATATAGTTCTGGCATAAACAATGTTAAATTTTAACTGACTTAATTTTGCAAACTCATCTTTTTTATTTATATGAATATCTTAAGATCAGTTTTTGCGCTAATGCTGCTAATGCACCATTTGAGCGAAAAAAATTGTTAAGGAAAAATTTTCTGTTAGCAAACCCTTTGTTAAATATTTCGAATATCACCACTGGATCAATCAATTTTGTATATAAAATGACTTCACCTCCAACAAATGCTTTGTCATGTTTAACCATGTCACTAGCCACATTAAATTATGTCAACCTTAGTCTATTAAGTTTCCTTTTTACTCTGGTGCACTCGCCGGATAGAGAAATAATGATCTGAGACGACTTCACTCTTGATTTCAAGATAAAGGTTCAAGTATATGTCAACAATAAGGTAACAAAATATTAATCTTTGTAAACCCCTCTCGCAACGATTATTGTAGAAAGTTAGAGGATAGAATAAGAAAACCTCGAACAGGATGGTGTGTATCCATTGAATTATATTCTTATCAATTGTATCAGTTCATTTATTATCATTTCAATCATTCTGTTTGTAATATATCATATAGATGTTTAAATAAATATGTTTAGTTATATCTTAGTTTGTTTAATGGTCTAACTCCATTGTCAGACAATTTGCCCCTCCTCAAATAATACCTGGACACACAATGAACTTTTATATCAAATTAGAGAAGTTTTGAATCACATTCTAACTGGTGTCAGGACCCTAACATAAGGAGGATCTCGATCTTTCCTATCTTACATTTGAACCATCCTGCAAAAGATGTGAATTGCCTCACTGGTGGATCTCACATTAAAGAAAACCTTCTCTATAGGCAAAAATGAGCCTACTCTACCTCTGGGTCCCATAGTAAGCTTTTAACATCTGGTTTTTCTGAATAAATTATACATCAATAGCTAAATTAATACATAATAGTAAGTATATTTGATGTACTTACATTCTTTTGCATAACTAGAAGAAAATTTATTCATTCATCTGTAGTAAAAAGTTCCAACTGAGAATTGTTTTGTTCATAATCACAACTTAACACAAAAGGGAACCTTTCATCATTATATTGAAATCAGCAGGGCACCAAATAAAACTAAACTGTGTTACACAGTTTAAAACTAAATAAAATTGTTATACAGGAAGCATGACAACTTAAATTTATTAAATATAAACCTTTGCTTGAATAAACTGATGCACAAAAGTCATTAAAATGTTAAAAAAGTCAAATGTGAAGGAATACTTAGTCTAATCTCAAACTAATTAATAATTTAGCTTCTTAAATCTGTCTAATTAATAACTATCCATCAGTTACTACCTAATTTGATATGCCAGAAATAATGAAAAATATGGAGAAATGATGAATGTAACAAAGTAGAAATGTAGCAACCATTAAAATATGGAAAAATGTTACATAAATTATTCTAATTTGTTTCAGAAATTAACATGAAAATTAAAGTTTGAATTTCTTATGTATCAGCAAGAAAAACATGAATCCAAAGTTAATAGGACAAAAGCCAATTGCTATTAACATATTACATAACATTCTGGACTTGCATTTAACAAATATTACAAATCAATGAACAACAGTTTAAGTTATTATGTAGCTATCCTCAGTGAAAAATATTCCAAGAATGAGTATTTCAATTTGTTACAATGGGGGTGATAATTTCATGTCTAAAAACATTGCTTTTTGACAAATATTTTAGCATATTTATTGTAGTTTGTATATAATATTTTTTTTATTTTGTTTTTTTGTTTGTTGTATTTATATGTAAAAAATAAGAATTTTAAAGAAATAACTACTCACCACACCAAACTAATGATAATGACGCATTCTGAACCAATTATGGTGTGATAAAAAGCATCGAAATGGTTAAGAACCTCATGCAGAGCCCAGAAGGGGTTCGAAAACATTTGTTTTTTTCAATGTTTTTTATCACAATTGGTTCCAAGTGACTCATTAAGAATTTTAAATCATTCGCAAAATAATAACTGTAGCATCTTATTCTTTCCATCAATTTCAAATGAAAATTAAATTTGTATGTTACTTTGCATTTGTGTCACTAGAGACATTTGACTTTACTTCATTTTTAGTTTACTTACTTATGAATTTCTTGACGTTCTGGAGGAACAGTCGGAAGATCAGGATAAATTGGAGGCGGTAAAGTTGCTAAAAGAAATTAACCCATAAATTTAAAGTTTAATAATAATTTATTTTTAATTAAGTTACTATCTAAAAATTTACTTGTTACAAAAGTAACTCCTTCATATCCAGGAACCTTTTCTATTTTGTCTAGAGGTGGTGCAGATGGTTGAAAATTTTCTGCAAAAATTAAATATCACATGAATCTAAAACTGCTTTACTTATTTTACATATTAATATATAAATTGTCTATAATGAATTCATGACAATTTTAAACATGTTCAAAAATTTATACTAAAAGCAATGCAAGTGTAGGCAGCATTATCTGAATTGCCTGCTGCTTTATCAAAAAACTGAGCCATCTGTCATGTCGTCATAAGAAGTGTATTTAACCCACAAACAGAAAAATAGGAAAATTCTCTTATTTGGTTTTCTGCAAAAGCCTCTTGATGTCTGGGAATATGAGAGGGAAAGAAGGAAAAGAAGAATATGGCCCATCTGAAGTTGTGCTGGACTTTGTCAAGGTGCATCAAGTGCTGATGAGAGTTAAATCTTTATGTATACAGCACAAGTGATAACTGCAAACAACTCCAAGTTGTCAAGTGTAAATCAATTTATGCTTATTAGTTTTTGTACTGAGAGGGCACTAAACTGTAGCAGACGCCTATGAAATAAATGTTAGTTCAGAAGTGTTAAAAACTGTCTTGCTCTCCCTCAATTGTTTAGTGCATTTTCCAGTCATTAACAGAGTGACCTGTTAATTAAATCTATGATGATTTGTGTATTATCTATTAAATATGGTATTCTTGTTATTAAATAAACCTTATAAATATAGATCAGGGGTCGCCAAACTTTTTTAACCGTCGACCCCCAATCACTTTCCAAAGCCTCACATTGACCCCCACCGTAAAGTTTTATTACAAGTGTATATGTACGAGCGAAAAAAAACGTTGTGGGTTGTGGTCTCTAAAAAAAAGGTTGTGACCCCTTAGCCGCATCGACCCCCCAATGATGTTGCATCGACCCCTGGGGGTCCATATCGACCACTGGGGGTCCATATCGATCACTTTGGCGACCCCTGATATAGATTCACATTTGCTTAAACATAAAATTTGTCTCCTGAAACAATTTTAAAAAAATTACATTAGTATAAAGAAGAAAGTCTGAAAAATATAAACAATTCTGTTTTAAATATAAATAAATTTTTGTTATGATTCATTGTTTAACAGAACTATTTACAAAAATGATAATAACTATGCTGATTTTGACTTCATTTAAGTGATTTATAATGAATAAATATTTATGCAATTTATTAACCATTTATCATTAAATACTGTATCACTAAGTACATATGTATGACTTATATAAATAGTATTTAATATCACATTGAGATTTTGAACTAACTTATCATAACAGTTAAATTGTATAAAATGCTTATAAATAGAAGAATAAACAAATTATATGTACAGTAATACTTCAAATGACTAAATTCAATGAAAAGTCACTTTGGAGTTTGAACAATACTTCAAACTTTGAACTGTGTAATTAAACAGTGAAAAAATGTGCTGGAACAGGCATTGTTTAGGGTAGGGGAATGAATTAACACACTTTCAATTATTTCTAATAGAAAAAACAAAATTGATTGGAGTTCAAATGGCCCCTTGGAATGAATTAAATTTGAAGTGCAAGGCACCACTGTATATATAATTTTATCCCTTCTTTATAGCTAAAGTATGATAATTTTTTTTTCTGTTATAAAGCTTTTCCATAAAATGTTCAAAACCAACTAAAGTATATTTGTGTAAATTTGAGTTCTAATAAAGCATTTCGTTACATAGATTTGAATTAATTTATTTTTCATCATTAGCATTTCTTTGGGTCAAAACAATCATTTGTGCTTATTATCTGTTAATTTAAAAGAATGGTGAAGCATCAGTAATTACGTCTCATTAAATTCTAAAATATTTCGTTTTGGTTTAAGGTAATTATGATCTTTGGGACAATCAGCAAAATAACTAAATTAAGCATTACGTGCAGACATTTGGGTAAACTTACTATAACAAGTATTTTCCATAAATATTCTGATGGAAATCCTCTTCATATGTCCTACTTAGTTATAATCTAATATTTTTATGCATTGTCAACAATACTCATTTCTTCTATGCACATTCCAAGTGATATGTAAAACTAATACAGAAAACTTAATTTGTTAATTCAAACTTAAATCCTTTGAAATTCCATTAGTTCATAACTATATTTTTGTCCCAGCTGGGGATGTAGAAATTTACACATTAAGGAATTCGATTAGTTCAAAATACGGCTACTTCAAAATTTGAAGTGAAATTCTGTCCGAACTGTGATACGCATACATTAACTTGTTCATTTAGATCAAAGTGACTCCATACTGTAAGAAAACAATAGACCAACACAATTCTAATCTGGTTAATATGGCTTTGCTTTTACATTAACACATTTTTCAGGTGTTGTCTTGCACATGGACTACACTTTCTCTATCTCATAAAATACGGCTAGTTTTGGGATTGTAAGATTGGGCTACAAGTAGCAGATTAAGGATATTTGTAGGGCTATAGGCCAGTAAATTTGGGCAACTTACTTTTGGGCCACTTTAAAATTAATTTGGGCTACATTTCAGAAAATTCTGCTTTAATTTTTTATAAAACTTATCTGGCAACCTGTGAAGTTTTCACCAGACATGCTGTTTACTTGCAGTTTATTTACAATATTACAATTATTTAATACAAATAGCATTCTGTATACATAATTGTATTCCATTTTTTAAATATTTGAAACAAAAATCTCTTACCAGAGTTATTAACTGTTTCTGATGGATACGGTTGATTAGGCTTGCTTGATGGATATGGTTGATTAGGCGTGCTTGATGGATACGGTTGATTAGGCGTGCTTGATGGATACGGTTGATTAGGTGTGCTTGATGGATACGGTTGATTAGGATTATTTGATGGATACGGTTGATTAGGAGTGCTTAATGGATACACATTTCCAGAATTTTGAAATTGATTATTAGTCTGAGGTGAATGAGGATAAGAAAACCCTCCTACAGAGTAAGGATTTCCTGGATTTTCTGACATTCTGTAAATAAAAAGAATTATTCATTTAATTAACAAGATGTTTTTAAATATTCAGATTATTCTTGGATTTCTGATTACTACTGTAGTTCTGGAATTTTTTAGTTATTGACTTATCAAAAATCATTTACCCATAGAAAAAAAACCACATGAACTAATAAATCATGACTTGAGAAATTAAATTTTTAGGAACTTATGCTGAAATGAAATTCAAGTGCAATAACACCAAAAGACAGTTATACTTTTAATTTTGAGAATATTTAATCATGATTAAAAAGAGTATTAATACCAAAAGTCATTAATACTTCCAATCTTTAATTCTAAAGTTTGACAAAATACTGACAACTAACAATTATTTAACTTGAAAGTATTAGAACTACTAATCAATTTTTAAAATGCAATTTTTTATAAGAATAATTCAGGATAATTCAAATTCTTAAAATTCAAAATGAATATATATGTCCTATCAATATAGCTGTTAAGTTTGATATGAATTCTGTGTTTATAAGTGCAGAAATTGTGCTAAAGACTTATTGATGTAAAAACTTTGTTCTGAAATTTTATCATGCACATTTTTCTGTTACTTATATTTTGGAAATAAACCTAGGCATGAGCAAGCACTGTACTAGAGCCAGATAACTCTATTTTATATCCAGATCAAGCCAAATTCCACATTTGTAAAGAATATGTACTGTACATGCTTTAGATAATTGTCAAATTAATCACTTAATATTATGACCTTTTTCTTAAGTTACTTATGATTAGAGATGATACAAAACTGAATTCTGCTAATACAATCTAATACAATAATTTTCCAACCAATCTGATAAATATTTGCTTCTATCCATACTCTACAGGTTTGGTAATAAATGAAAGCCCAAAATTTTATTGGCTTATTCACTTTATTCACCAACCATTTAAAATCAAACAAATTTTATAAATTGATTTTGAGCTCTATGCAACCAAGTGTTTAGTTTGCCTAGGCCCAACCCCAACCATGATTTTAGGAAAACAAATTAATTTGAAGTTTATTTTATTATTATTATAGAAAAACTTTTCAAGTTGGAAAAAACCAGGAAATTGGTTTGTTTGGTTTCCCCCCACTGCTTTGCAGGCAATTCGTGGTCACATCAAATCGATGCTCACAAAAATCAATAACCATACATGTCACCATTAGTGGCAAACTGTGTACACAGAGGCTGTATACTGTGGGTTAGTTTTATAACACAATATGTCCATTACCATGTTAAAGTGACTGCCATGGAAAAACAGAGAATACACACAAAAAAAGTGATCATAGGTTTGTAAAACAAACATACCAATACACTATATTTCTCCAAAAATAAGACTTAACCAGAAAATAAGCCTCAGCATAATTTTTCAGGATGCTCATAATATAAGCTCCACTCCTAAAATAAGCCCCAGTTAAGATTATCAGCCAGATGGTCATATTTAACGTTTATTGCAACCTAGTTTTATTTTCGGGAAAATATGGTATTGGCTACATCTCTACTTATGACGAAAAATACAGTATGTTTAATTTGGGTATTATTAATAAATTTTATTTTTTAATGTTTCTATTTGTGACACTAAATTGATTTGTCATTTGTGTTTCAAGCACAGATTAGCTACTTTGGTAGTATATTTGATATGAAAACATATCTGTCAATCAAAACTGAAAACTATCGTCACATTTTAAGTTTCTTTAGTTTGTTCTATAATGTCCAATCGACGTGTCGTTCTCATTCCTGATGCCTACTAATCAGTTATAATACATTCTCATTATAGGAATAGTCTTCTCTGGCAACAATATACAAGGTCTTGTAGATGGCACTCTATGTTCAATTGCTAACTACAAGATAATTTGTAATTTGTCAAGGATTTTGCAGCCGTAGAAAAAGTCACAGAAGGCCACAGAATGCCCACACTTAATTTAATCTACAGAAAAGCAAATATTAAACCTTTTGTATTGTTCTTAACCCTTCTACCTTTTATTGTTCTATAGTTTCATTTTAGGCAGTAAGCGGAAAATAGAGAAATTCTGTTTATCGAAGAGAGACAGAAAACTAATACATATGGACTGTTTCATGTAAAGTGATATTGTTCACAAAAAACAAATAAATATGCATAAATCTTACATTGTCATGTACAAAACAATATTCTGTTTTGTGCTGGTTTGGTGCCAAAAACAAAACTTTATTTTTTGTCAAAGTAAAGTAATTTATAACATCAAAAAGTTGTCATAATTTAACATTCTTTGTGAGTAATTTTCAGTCCAAATGATTATACACTATTGTGCCAAAAATTGCATCAAGTGATAAACATGCGATGTTTTTTTGTATCTATGAGAAATATTCAATTTTTGGTTAATTTTTAAAATAAAATACTTAGAGTGACCTTGAGTGACTGCAGTTTGATCTGTTTTTGAAGGGTACAATCAACCACATTGCGTTAGAAGGGTTAATCTCAAGAATGGGGTTAGAGAGACAAAAGACAAGATATGAAAAACTTAGGGAGAGGAGGCTCCAATTAACTACCGGAATTCACATTATTTGAATTCAAAAGTTTTTCCCTGAAAGGAGTTAACCTCATACATGCATATCCCATGTATTTTTCTTCCATACCATGATGTTTTGTTATTTTACCACACATTTTAAGATGTTACAATATGTATATTTATTTGTTTTAAAATTCATAATAAAAGTCATGATCAATGAAGCATTCCAAAAGAGATTTTCCTATATTTACTAAATAGAAAAAAATCAATAAATACTTGATATAAATAAATACTCTAATTCTTTGCACTGCATGCCCGATAAAAAAAATTCTAGAAAACAGTATTAAAGTATTAATATAATTAAATTTAGAAACCTAAAAAAAAAAAGTTAGATATATTTTATCCGTGGAAATTATCTGATGACAAGTTTCTACTGATCAGTTTTAAATTATTTGTTTAAGAACATTTTATCAGCAACTCATTCACTTGTTTTTAATCTTACCTTTATTTACTTACCTTTTTATCAATGCTTAATGCACTTTAACCTAACAGGCTCTTCTACCAAAATAACTAATCTAATAGCGAATCAATTCAACTCCAAAGCGAAAATTTGGAATTGCAGAAAATATTGCATACAAATATTTTTTCTAATTTCACAGATAAAATGCAATATTTTACCTGCGAAATTAGCAAATAATGCGGCAAAACTATCTTCAATTAATGGACTAAAATAGCAATTATTACATAACTATTTTTTTTTTTTTCAAATTCAAGTATTCAAATTAAATTTTATTATAAAGTAAATTTATATTTCCAAAAAATTATGTACAAAAATTTATTTCCCAATACAACTACCGTATTTGTTATAGAATTGCATATCCAAATAAGTGATAAATATCTATCATCATTTACACAAAATATTGATTACTCAATAATTACATTACAGCAATACTAAATGTATCAATCAAGAAGAAACTATTTTGTTTGACATAATGTCATTTAATGGATAATTTATATAAGAGCAGCCAAATTCTTTAAAATCATTTCAATGAGACGCACAGTAACTTCCTTCATTCTGTAGTAATTAATTACTTTCTAAAATTTATATTATTCCCTGTAGTAACTACAACCAGTAGAAGTTACCTTTAGGTAATTTGTGCTTCTATGTTATACAAAATATCTAAGAGTAACTTCTATCACTGTAACAGACAAACTTATAGTAATATAAGTAAATATTAAAGGATATTTAAAAAAAAAACATTGTTATAAATATAAAAAGCAACCGAGAAAAGAATCCCGATAGACACGTGACTAGACGTAATAAGGAAGATGCTCTGCATAGTGTACGCCCATCGCTACCATTAATTATTTATGTCTTCGCTAGTACACAAAATATACTAAATAGAATAAGAATTTATAACTATATCTGTTACCTGAAACACCATAAATGTATAAATGGCTTCTATTTGCGAAATAATTATTGAACTAAACGTTCCTGTCGTCTAAACACTACTGAAGATACAGCTGACTACTTCATCTAATCTGCTCTTCCTCCATCTAGCGGTCAATTAGAAAAACAAATATGAAGATTCCCTCCATCTAGTGGCCAATTAGAAAAAAGAAAAAAAAAATATCCTCCATCTAGCGGTTAATTAGAAACGAACATATTTTATTTAATAAACTCAATAAAAATGATAATATTTAGTTAATTTTTTAATATTATTTTTTTACTTGAATTTCATTAATTTAAATGATTTTTAAATCGGTGATGATACATTAATTACGTGTATAGTTTAACGGAGGGAGAGGAATGTCGGGGATACGCGTATTAACACCTTTAATCGAGGTTGCGGCCGAAGTTTTCATCTCTCAAACGCAACCTCTCTAATCAGAGAACGTACAACCTTCGATGACTTTTAATAAAATCGAATTATAAAACGTGAAATAATTCATGCGTTTCAGATTATTCTATTAACTCGATAAACCAGATCTATTGTCAAGGTAATCGCTACCTTATGGAAGATGATTATATCGAGATAAGAGCTTGATAAAGACGTACATACACTTCACATTGATATAATAAGAATTGTTTTAACGTTTCTATCTATGTAAATATTTTAAAATTGCCAATACGAATTGGCTTATCTACTGTTTGTATATTATCGTTATATAATTCAAAATTTAAAACAAGAATTTGGGTGTAGAAAATTTATTATTTGAAAGGAATCAGTTGTCAATAATTAAAGCGGATAAAGCTAGACAGTTAGTTATTGTAGATAACCAAAGTATAATGTAAAGACGCAATAAGTATATATCCGAGTATAGACTGGGCACTAATAAAATTAAATTTAGTGAAGTTACAATTAGAAAAATGGTTTATTAAATTAATTAGATTTGCTTATGTTAATAATTATTTTGAAATAAATGGTAAATATTACAGACAACTCAATATGTTAATTTCTTAGTCCGCGGCTCTTAAATGTTTGCGAGGCGTGAGAGGCGTTATTAGATTTGCTTATGTTAATAATTATTTTGAAATAAATAGTAAATATTATAGACAATTCAATACGTTAGTTTCTTAATCCACGGCTCATGTTTGCGAGGCGTGAACGCCCCTCACGTCTGCAAATATTTATGCAAGGCCTTATTAGCAACAACGACTTGGCATTTGTCCCGTTGCCAATGCAGTGCTACTGCTCCGAGTATAATAGATTTACACAATAAAAATTATTGTACGAACGTAATTCAGTTTAAATATTGACTAGAATTAACATTAAATATGTACTGTACAAATGTGTAAAATTTAATAGAACTGAAACCCATCAAATATATATTTNTTGTTTTTCACGTAAATATTGTCAAGCTTTAGATACTGTTCTATTTCACATTCTAATTCGGGTGCGTATTCAGACCTGAAGATGATCTGTTTAAGATTGAAAACATTAGTTCCTAATAAAAATACTTTACAACTATACAAAGGTTTTGTGGACATTGCGTTTCAACCCGTTCATTTGTATTGCTATAGAATTATTTAATTTTTTAATCATATAGTAAGCATAATTATCATAAGCATCTTTGTCTATGATATCTATAATTATTGCAAATGCAATTATCTCTAGAAAAGAAACTAAAGTATATGCAATAAGATTTGTTTTTTTTTCAGACATTGTTATAAATATTTTTATATATTTCGATTTTTTAACCAAATGTTCAAACCGTTTTAAATTCGAATTTATTATTGCATATTGGTTCAATTATAGAACGATTGTAAACATTCCAGAAAATTGATCAAATTAACAGTTTGATTCTCAGCGGTAGGTGTTATATAACAATTACTATGGTTGTTGAAATACTGAATATAAATGGTGTTTGCTGCAAAATCTGCACGGGCAAAGTCGTGGGTAACAGCTAGTTTAAAATATTATTTCTGGATTAATAATAGGTGATGAAAATTTTGAGTGTATTTATAAAATAAAAAACTCTAAAGATGCAACATTTTTTATTTCTGGACCTGGCTTTGGATGCCTTAAACATACAAATTTGTATGAAAATTTATCCAGTACATTTTATTTAGTATAATTCAAAACAAATTTTTTTAACTAGTCTAAAAACAAGTGGTCAATACGTTTCTTCTACTAGTTTACTATCTACAGTGATCCTATTCTTGAAAACTGAATTTACAGTATCTTTCTCGGAAACATCTACTAGGTAACTGACAGTACACACTAGATCATTTGACAAATGCAAACCAATGAGAATCTTTTGCTTCAAAGGCACTTTCTTAAAAACGGTGACGTAATTACGTGATAATATCTGCAAAAGAGCACCATCCGCATTATCCTTTTCGTGGCGTTTTACTTCAATTATATATCCTATATTTTCTTTTGTGATAGCAAGAATATCTAATCGAGGTGCACGCCCGATACAAACAGCCAATTCGGCCCTAACATCAGGAAAGTTTATTACATCAGATTTAATAATGTGATAAATATCACTTTTTAAGATGAAATGATTGGCTGGAAGAGACTGCAGATTATACAAAGCAGATGTACTTAATGCAAAACGTACATACATCTTCTTATCATTTCCTTTGAGTGCCCTCAAACTTTCTAGAAATGACTGAATCTTGTGAGGTTCAAACAAAGTTTTCTGTAACTTAAGTCGTGCAGAAATGAATGCGTTAATTAATTTGCTCTTAATTTCCTGATTCACACATTTTATGTTTCCAGAAGATGACTCAGTGTCCTCAGTAAGAAGAAAGTATCCAGACTGTGCAAAATATTGAAAGAATAAATCTACCATATCCTGTATGGGATCGTACGTGAAATGATTATTGAGAATTTTCAATTGAATGACGTGTTNGCGGCCGCGATTTCTGATATTATTTTTCTGCGAAAACTTCGTTGACCTTTGGAGACATCCTTAATATAAATAATTTTTATGGCCGTTAAATAAGAAATGTTTCTTTCACAAGAAATGTATAAAATTACAGTACTAAACAGACGATAGGTCGCCTAACTCGCCGTAGCGTGACGCTAGACGGCGAAAAATATATATTTAATTATAATAAAGTTACAATAAATTAAGTTAATATATAATTATATATACAGTACCTAATTTATATATAATTAATATATAATTATATGTACAGTACCTAATTTATATATAATTATATGAACAGACGATACTAAACTCAATTTATCCGCCTAAACGTCCATAGCGTGGCGCTACGGACAGCGGGAAAGTAGTTCGGCTGCCCGATGACGTTTTACGTATTTTAGGAGTTATTTTTACAGTTGTTTACGGATACTGCCACAATTTTTATAGGAATCATAACTATAGGGAACGGTTTTATAGGGGGATCTACTGTAATTCATGCGTTTCAGATTATTCTATTAACTCGATAAACCAGATCTATTGTCAAGGTAATCGCTACCTTCTCGAAGATGATTATATCGAGATAAGAGCTTGATAAAGATGTACAGTACATACACTTCACATTGATATAGTCTAATATGAATTGTTTTAACATTTCTATCTATGTAAATATTTTTAAATTGCCAATACGAATTGGCTTATCTACTGTTTGTATATTACCGTTATATAATTCAAAATTTAAAACAAGAATTTGGGTGTAGAGACGGAAATAAAAAAAAAAATTATTATTTGAGAGGAATCTCAGTTGTCAATAATTAAAGCGGATAAAGCTAAACAGTTAGTTATTGTAGATAACCAAAGTATAAAGTAAAGACGCAATAAGTATATATCCGAGTATAGACTGGGCACTAATAAAATTAAATTTAGTGAAGTTACAATTAGAAAAATGGTTTATTAAATTAATTAGATTTGCTTATGTTAATAATTATTTTGAAATAAATGGTAAATATTACAGACAACTCAATATGTTAATTTCTTAGTCCGCGGCTCTTAAATGTTTGCGAGGCGTGAGAGGCGTTCACGTCTCGCAAACATTTATGCAAGACCTTATTAGCAACAACGACTTGGCATTTGCCCTGTTGCCAATGCAATGCTATTACTCCAAGTATAATAGATTTACACAATAAAAATTATTGTAACGAACATAATTCAGTTTAAATATTGACTAGAATTAACATTAAATATGTACTGTACAAATGTGTAAAATTTAATAGAACTGAAACCCATCAAATATATATTTGTTAAAAAGAAATTGCGTTTTCATGAATTACAATGGGCGCTACATTTTCAGTAAGTGGCTACGTTATCTCTGGTTAATTCAATTTTTAGCTGTTTCCATCTTGTTGGCACTAAGACGATTTTTTTTCAACACCCATTGTTAAGTTCAATTGTAACACGTGTCAGGTGGGTTGATGTAATCGTATTCCTAATAATGCGGGGCGAGATTGTCCCGCCTAGAGCGGGAGGAATTGTGCACTTTCCTTTGGTGTGTCGAGTCAGTGCTGACCGGGGTGGTTACCAGAGTGTATAGCTGTGTGGCTGGTCAAGAAACAGTGTTGTGATTATAAATTAATTATCGGGTGCCTGAGTGTTGCTCGCTTGTGGAGTGCCAAAGTGTTACTCGCTTGTTTGAGAAATTAACGTTCAAATTGTGTTGTTATGTTGTGTAGGAACTGTGTACTGTTTTTAGACTGTGTAAACGGGAACATTTTACATCACAATTTTTACATGATTTTCTGGTCTGTCGAGGCGGATGGAGCGGATGGATGGAATAAAGATAGTGTTGAATGCAGTGGAGTAAATTGTATAGAGACGAACTTTCGGTTAGAGTGAAGGTCTACCTCGAGTTGGACGTTGGACTATTGCTTTAGTTAAAGGATCTCTTGCTTTAGTTGTTCAGGTACGATATTTCTGGTGTATTAAAAATGGATCTAAAACATTGTTTATAAAACAGAGGACTGCCAATAGTAGTCTTACTACACACTAAGAGAGAAAATTCTGGGGAATGTTGAAGATTCAGATAGCGTGCAACTCGATCTGTACCGTTCGAAATTGGGTGCTATTGCTAACGACTTAAAGGAAGTCTTTGAACTCTTTGATATTTGTAAGGAGGACAAAATGGAACAATTTAATTAATTAAAACATCTATAAAC